CTTGAGAATATATTGGGCCCACCCAGATAATCCAAGATAATACATGTGTCCTGAGGTCCTCAACTTAATCACAACTGTGAAATACTTTTGCCACATAAAATAACATAATCACAGCTTCCAGTGATTAGGATACATTTGGAGAGTCATTATTTTGCTTAGCACAGTTTATCTTTTGTACTCCCCAAATTAAAGCTTATCTCCCATGCAAAATACGTTCACTCTATTCTAAGGTACATAAATCACAACCCATTATAGCAGCAACTCAAATTCCTAAATCTCATCAGCACAGAAGTCCCAAATTTTATTATCAACAAACTAATTTAAGTTAGGTGTGAGTATATTGGATTCTGACACAAAATTCCTCTCAATTTGTAGACCTGCGAAACTAAACAACAAGATATTTACTCTCAAAATACAATAGTGAAACTGGCATAGGGGAGTGGCTATAAACATTCCTTCTCAAAGAAGGTGAAAATACAAGAAAAAAATGAGTCATCAATCCCAAACAGTTTTTAAGTCTAGCCAGGCAAACTACATTAATTTTAAGTTCTGGAAATGATTTTCTGTGGTTTGTAGTTCCAGCCTCTGCAGTCTGAGTTTGGGGTTTCATCCTCTTCCCTTGAAGACCTACCCTGTGAGTCATCATTTCTTTTTTATGAAGATATCCTGGGTTTGCTGCTGAGTGGTTTTATCAGCCCATTTCCTGCCTGCAGAATTTTGGGGGTTAGAAAGACTTCTTTCATTTTATCCTCTCTCTCTTTCAGTTTAAGCTAGCAATATTCCTCCTGGTATAAAAATTCTCAAGAATTTTTGGAGTTTTCTATGTATGTCATGGGGATTCACTCCAGTAGACAACAATCTTTTCCACAGGTCTTTTCTGAATGATCCCATTTGACTGAGGGAATCCATGAGTCACACATATTCTTTTCAAGGAGGCTTTGTGTGACTAAATACTTAGCTTTTTAATCTTTCTGAGGTATTATATAAAGGTTGCCTGGCCATATTCTTTATTTTTTTTTCCTCTATAACTTTCATTTACAATGGCGAATCTCTTAATTATAGGGTCTTTTGAAATTTTGGTAGATTGAGAATTTTTTAAATCATCAAGGCCTAGTTTCTTTGTGTTTAACACATCTTTTCTCAACTTGGCTCTTTGTTCTTGCCTTTTACAATAAGCAGCAAAAGCAAACTAGGTCACAATTTCAATGCTTTCCTTGGAAATTTCCTCAGCTAAGTGTCTAATTTCATTATTTTTAAGGTCTGCTTTCCACGTCAATTCAGGACACAATTCTGCTAAGATTTATGTTACTATATAATGAGAATCTCCTTTTTTCCGGTTTTTAATAAGATATCCCTCATTTTCTCTTGAGCCTTCACCAGGAGTACCTATAATATACATATATTTATTACAAGTCTGTTCATGACAATTTAGATATTCTCTAAGGTGATTTAGCTTTTCTCTTCCATGCTCCTCATTTTCTTCTGAGTAATCGATCAACAGAGTTGATCTGTATGTCTTCTAATAGTATGCTTAAGACAATTTAGGGAGTGTTTAAAAATTATGTCACTCAAAATTATTCCAGCGTGTTCTCATTGCCCAATTTCAAAGCTACTTTGCATTTTATGTATTTGTTATAGTAGTAACTCACTTCTAGTTACCCAAGTCCATGTCAACCAAGGCTCAACCAGAGAAGCAGAAACCGTGTAACATGTAAAAAGAGACTTATCATAAGGAATTGGGTTATGTAATTTTGGGGGCTGGATAGGCAGGCCTGAAATCCATAAAGACAGGCCATCAGGGAGGAGAGGCTAGAGCTCTTGGACATCAGGTGGAGCTGCTGTTCACAGGTGGAATTTCTTCTTGAGAGAAGCTTTGGTGATGATTCTGAGCTTTGAATTAATTGAATCAAGCCACCCATATTATCTAAGATGATCTTAAAGTTAACTGACTATAGCCTTTAATCACACCTACAAAATGCCTTAACAGCAACATATAGATTAATGGTTTATTAAATAACTGTGGACTATAACCTTGCCAAGTGGACGTATTGAACAGATTATGGCAGTATGTTAAGTATCAATGTGATGTTTCTTTTTTAAATCTTTGTTCAGGCACTTACTGAGACACCAAGGGGTTCGATGAAAACTTCCAAAGAAGTTTCAAAAGAAATCAGATTACATGAAAAGTTCATAGAGCAAGAAACTATACTCATCTTTTTTGGAATAATAATTTTTAGTTTCTCTTTTAAAATTTTGTTAAAAGTAGTTTGTGGTTCAAACAGAATTTCTACATAGTTTCTAGTAATTGAACAAAATTGAACCTGTTCAACCTTATTAATGAAACTTAAGTGGAAAGAAAACAAAAATGACAGAAAAAAAAGTACAAAGGAAAAGACACCCATAGAAAACTATACATTGGCAAGGTAATCGAAGTTCAATGTTCACCATTTTGTTGAGCATGGCAACTGAGTACAGAGTTTGGCTGCCACATTAGAGCTTGGTATGATATGGGATAAATCAAGCAAACCCTATGTACAGTGATTAAAATGAGATCCATTTACTGGTATATGTTTCCTGGCTTCTGACACTGCCAGGATAATTGCCACTGCCAAGGCTGTATGTTCAATAAACTCAATCAGCCAATCCAAAAAGTCACGTGATGCTGTTGCATGGTGCCAAGCAAAGGCGAGAGTTGCTGGGGAGCCTTGGAGGGGGGAAAGCTCATACAAATGAGCTTTTTGGCAGGATATAATCCCCTTTGGAGGGACCCCTACCTTTCACAGAGCATACTGCATTTTGCTAGGAACAAGTCCTAACTGTGTTCCTTTAGAGAAATCCCAGTAAGCTTTCCCATCACAGATAATATTAGCACTCATGGTGGCAAAAGCTACTGATGAGTGCCTGCTATCTTTAAGATTAGTTTGCAAAATGATCACTTATTCTTATAGCATCTTTTGTTGCTATTTCTCTCTTCAAATGAAAACTTTCTAAATTCTCTAGGGTTTTGCCTATCATGTTTCCATACTTTTTCTCCTATTTCCAAGTTAGAATGTATAAACAGTGTGAGAAAAGATAGCATGTAATAAAATGAGTATGTAATACAAAAATGGAGAGAAAAATATTTTATTTATAGTTGAATTTAAGTTTATTCTAGGACACATACTTATTTTTGCTTTTTACATGTAAATGGTTTGTTTTCATGATTTTAATTCAAGGCTCTCGGGGTACATTGTTCATCTTATACCTTTTTATAAACTGAATAAGAGAGCCTCCTATTTCTTATTCTAGCTTTTTCAGAATAGTTGATTCCTTACTATCAAGTATTCATTACTCTACTGCTTTGCCTGTTTTTGTGTATTACTATACTTGGTTTCTTGAGAGCATGAGAATATTGCTTACAGACACTGCTAAACAAATCCTTCATTTATTTAGTTGATAGAAGATAGAGAACAAGAGTTTGGATTTAGCAAAGTCAGCTTTGTAATGACAAGGTTGTTTATAGCTTAGTTATGGAATATGTTGCACCTTGATTTCTTTGTATAATATTTATAAATGGTTATGTTTTAATTTAATTTTCTTGCTAAAATATTTTCTTTGAATTTATGAAAAGAAATGGAAAGGCCAATGTCCACAAATACCAATATCTCCAAAATAATAATTTTTAGATTTTTTTTCATCTAAAGAATTAATGTTTAAATTTTCAAGCCCACATAAACATAAATTACAAGTTATATAATGGTTCTTTCATGACATGGGACTAAAAATGTGATCCACAGCTTTCTGTCTTTCTCTCTTTCTGTGTTTATGTATATGTGTGTTTGCTTAATTTTTCTTTTATATTGTTGTTTTTTGGAGAAATTGTGTTTCACCAAGTGAAAATTAGACCAAAAATCTATAATTACTAGAATTTTTAAATGAAAAAAAAATCCATCTCTAAAATTAATACTTCTTAATATCTCACAGTATTACAAGGAAGAAAGGATAAAAATTTACAGACTGCTTAATTCAAACAGATTTTTTTAGAAAAATAAAATACACTGTGTATTTATTTGCTGTTTAATAGTAGCTTTTCTTCTTTATTACCATCAAAACTTACAAAAAGAAGGCAAGCGTTTTGAGAATCTATGAAAGCCTTTTAAAGAAAGGATTTTCTGTAACCAATAACTTGGATGCACCTCGTCTATTTCCACTGTTATCCTCAGTACAAACTTCCAACATGGGTCACCTAGACGCCTAGGCCTCACCAGAGACTCTTAATTACCCTCATCTTCCATACTGGGCTCTGTTTATAATCTATTCTGCACATTCAGTGAAAGAGATGAGTTAGGTAATACCATACGTGAGCATAGAATCCATCAATAGCTTCATCACATTCTGAATTTCAGGCCTAAAAGCACTGAATAACTTATCTGTAACCTTTCTCTCTCCCCTTTAAATCTCATGCCAGGCTTTCCTGTGCTCTGTGCACTCACTGGCTGCCTGTCTATCTTTAGGTCATACTAAGCATGGAGCTACCCCAGGGTTTTCTCATTAATATGATTTGGCTGTGTCCCCACTCAAATCTCATCTTGAATTCTCCTGTGTTGTGGGAAGGAGGCAGGGAAAGTAATTGAATCATGGAGGCAGGTCTTTCCCATGCTGTTCTCATGATACTGAATAAGTCCCATGAGATCTGATGCTTTTAAAAATAGGACTTCCCCTTCACAAACTCTCTCTCTTTGCCTTCTTCCATCCATGTAAGATGTAATTTGCTCCTTCTTGCCTTCCGCTATGTTTGTGAGGCCTCCCCAGCCATGTGGAATTGCAAGTCTATTAAACCTCTTTTTCTTCCTAGTCTAGAGTATGTCTTTATCAGTAGTGTGAAAATGGAATGATACACTCAGATTTCCTCTCTGACCCCATCTTGGCCAGATCAGCCCATAACTACCTCCTCTCATCATTTAGGCAACAGCTCATTTTTGCATTCCAGGGAGGCTTTTTTTTTTTTTTTTTTCATACTTTTAAGGCTCTTTATTCAGGCAGTAAAGTAAGGAACAGCAAAGTGGTAGGGCTACACCATCACCATAGCAACAGAAAGCCTCAAAAACATAAAGTCCCTCAACTTCTGTCTGGTAGACTCTTTGTAGCTCAGGAGAAACATATTTTAACTGGCTGAGAACAAGGCCAGGCAGCCTGGCCACACTGTGGAAGGACAGCTGGGTGCACAGCCTCTGGTCAGTCCTGGAAGTGCTTGGTGAAGGCTTCCTGCAGCTCCTGCTTCTTCAGCCCCCTGTTCAGCCCGTACGCCCGGCAAGCCTATTTCAGCATGGGCACAGTGAACTTGCCCAGTGTGCCCTTGCTGATGTGGGTCTTCAGCCCCTCTCCGGAATACTCCAGCTTGGGACTTTTGCTTCCAGAACCTTCATTATCATGTTTTCTGTTGGTAACTTTCCCTTCAGGTTTGTAATCTGGTGGGTAAGCAAGCTCCTCAAATTCATCCACCAGGGAACCCAGTCTTTTATTCATTCCTTCAACCTTGGGTAATGTCAGGTCCACTGCTTGTTCAGGCTCCATCAAATCGAAGACCAAGGACTCCAGGTTCCTGAAGTGCTGCTGCAGCATGGGGTTCTCAAAGCTGTCACTTTTGTATATGAAGCAGAACTTCTTAATGACAGCCTTCATCTTGTCCACCTGCTCTGGAGTTGCCATGATTTTTTCAGTAAAGGGCACCTTCCTTTTATCATCAGCAAATGGTAAAAAGACAAGCTGAAATCTTGGAGGAGTGACCTGAATTTTCTGGTCATCCAACTTCTTGTCCTGTGGCACCACAGCCACAAAATAAGAGGGGACGTTCCTCCGGGGTGTCCAGGGAGGCTTTTCTATTGCTTTAGTCTGAGAAGTGCCTTCATCTCCTCTCAACTCAGATACTCTCTATGCTGAATAGCCTCACCAGTTTTGTTACCTTTAGCATTCCTATCACTAAATATTTATTTATCCATTTACTTATCTTCTGTATCTCCCCATAAAGAACACAAGCTCCATAAGCCTACATTCTCATACCTCTATACTCATACTTGTCACATAGCAGGTGCATAATAAATGGAACCTGAGGTTAGTGTGAAGCCAAGGGAGTAGGGCAGAGAAATTACATTAAGATTCTGTATATTATGATTATGGCTGCAATTGTGATAATGGTTACTATTTCAAGTTAGTAATGATAAAGCTTATTCTGTAGATTACTTTAAAAACCTATAACGCACAATGTTTGTAATTATGTGTGTCTGTGATAAAATAAAAAGAACTAGAAATGGAAGTAGCTAATAAATGACCTTACCTTATAATGTCTTTTTGTAGTCCCCTTAGCAATAATGGAGCCTAGTGGAGTAAAAAGAGAGCAGATGAGTCCCTGTTGAATAAAGATCTGGACCGATGGTTCCCCTGGTGCATGGAGCAGAGTGGGAGAGGGACTTCTCTCAAGGCTCACGGACTGCCTGGAGATTAGTTTACTTTATGTACATTTTGCTGGAATGTGACAGCTAATTCACTTTTTTAAAAAACTACAATTCTGGCACAGGTCTTAATACTTTGTTCCTAAATTTCTTATTTTTACTCTTGTCGCACGTTGATTTTTCAATTCACTGAAATAAATGGCAGTTATTTTTAAAAAAAATTTTTAAATGCATTTTATGACATATGGTTATGTACAGGCCTCTGCCTCCTTCATCTAAGTCTGGGGAGAGGAGACTATGGTAATATTGTGTTAGAAATATTACAGAAGCACCTGTTTTTCATGAAATTCTGGAGTAATAGAAGAACCTGTTCTTCATGAAATTCTGAAGAGCAGAAGCCTAATAATGGTCCTCTTCTAATAGGCAACTAAAGTAAGAGTTCATAGCAGATGTTTCCTCTATGTCCCAGATTACTGTAAGTATTCTTCATGGGAATTCACATTATTAAATGCATCTTGGAAAATCTGTTACCAGCAGGAGAGCTGGGGAATATGGTTTATTTGCAAATCACATAATGTCTCAATAAAAATGTTTTGGTAGTATATCTGATAGAAAAGTTTAATTTATAGTTGAATCTGGAAGAAAGAACCCAAGTCTTTTTATTACACTATCTTTACGTTTAGGTTAGGTAGATAATGTTATGTGTATTATTTTATTTATTTAGTTTTAATCTATTTTAGGTTCTATAGAATAAGTACATAATTATGCAGTTCATCACCCTTAAAATCTCTTGTCTCACACTCTTCATGATTTTTCCTCTAATATATCTGATAACATATACCTGCTATGTAGTATAGATTATCTGGTGAACATCTTGCAGATGCCTCATCTGGTGGCATACATGGTAAGGAAGGTGACCAGTACCTTCTAAATAAATTTAGAGAGGGGAATCCTTCCAAAACACTCTTCATTTTCAAAAAACTCTAATTCATAGCTATTTAAACTTTAATCACTCACGTTGTTCTGAAAGTAAGACCGGCACATTTCAATTATAGGCTCCTTGGGGAAGATGACTTTATCACTTTATTATGTTGTGTAGCCACAGCTTTTATATACTTAAATATTAAACATTATTTTTAATCAGTTGAGCAATGAGGACTCCATCTTATTGTCTTTTTAAATATTTTTCTATTTAAGCACTTAAAAAAGTAGAAAGTCACTCCCTAAAATCAGGAGTCTCCTAACTCATTAACTAGTTAAATGTTCAAAAAGGTTACTCTATCAAACTCAGTATATTTAAAATGGGCATTGTTATGAATATAATTTTGGTTTCAAAAGGCTGATGTCTTTTATTCTTCTCATACTCAATCCCTTTGTGTGTGTGTGTATGTGTGTGTGTGTGTGTGTGTGTGTGTAGCTCCCACCGATTTCAAAGATTCTAGAAGAGGAAGAGGAGATAAGTATGATTCTAAACTAACCCACTATTCTGGGACTAAAAAAACCCCATATATACAGACAAATACAAGAAATATAATGGCCTTTATTGTATAGATTGCTTTCTTCCCCTCATTCTGTTTTACTGGTTTTATTTGAATGAACAAATGCAACATTTACCTCTTAGTTTCATCTGATTCTGGCAAAGTTGTGAGATTATCAGAGTGTTTCATTGTAAGAGATCACTAAAGAAAAAAATCATTTTCTGAAAGAAAATTATTTTGGAGCTACTCACTTATAAAAAGCTCATTTATTTTAATTTAAGTTGATGGTTTCTGAAAAAAAAAAAAGGAAATCAGTTTTCTTCTTCATTTACAAATACTTTCCATCACTTAGTACTTCTCTAGCTTCATGATTGTGATTATTACTTAAATTATAAATGCTTAGTTTATTTATAGTTACGTTCTCAGGCTCCCATAATTTTACTAAAATCTGTAATGGAATGGTTTTAAGATCAGTATGACTAAACCTAATGGTTCATTAAGTAATTCCCTTAAATATAATCTAAAAGAAAACAGTTTACAGGTCACCCACTTTGTGAATCTTCTCAGGCCTCTCCACTCTGCTATACATATGCACAGATGATTACTTTCTCTCTAGTGATTGATGAACATACTGATTGTAGCACTCATTATACTGCTTATAGTGATTCATTTTACTGTCTGTCTTCTGCAGAAATCTGAGTACTTAATGGTGGGGATCTTGTTTTCCTCATATTTATATACACATCTGGGCAATGCCTAGTATATACTAGACAACAAGTAAATGTTTGTTAAAACAGATGTTTTGTTTTCTTTATTTTTACTTTTTCTGAATATAAAATAATAAATCTTATTGTAGAATACTTGATAGACAACTACAAATATAAAGAACGTTGATTGCTCTTTATTATCTTGAAACAGCCATTGCTAACATTATTGTCTTAATTTTTCTAATTGAATTTAACTTGTGGTTTAAGATGAATAAACAAGATCTGCAACTCAAGACTTCCTTTTTCCTGTCCTTGTTGTTTATTTCACTTGTGGTTGATTATATATTTTTTTAAGTTTTTCTCATCTGCAGTTATTTAGGGTTGATTTTGTCTGTCTTCATTCATTCATTAATTTGTTTTCATATAATAAGTATTCATTGATCTCCTGCTATGTTTTAGATACAATGCCAGATCTTGGAAACATAATATTGAGCAAACACATGTTATCTCTTCTTTCTTGGAACTTATAGTTAGGAGAACAAATTATAACAGAGAGTATTTACAAAAGGGAAGACTTAGAACTCAATTTTTAAAATGTGAGTTCTTTTCTAGGGGGATGAGAAAAAGAAAACATGGACAGTCTGCAAGGTTCAATGTCTGTGTGGCATTCAGGAGTTTTTTGTGTTTGAACATCTGCCGCTGTGTGTGTATGTACTTATTCTGATGATGTTGTGGAAGTACTTGCAACTTTCTAGCTGTCCTAAATCCTTCCAGCCATAAATCTAGGTACTCTGCCTCCACAATATTGGATAATTATTTGATTTTCTTTCTGATTTATTATTGATTCATTTAAAAATGTAGTATCAGAATACCTTTTTTTAAGAAGAACTCATGGATTTTCAAGGGTTTGCAACATTGAATTTCGCTTTTCAATTTTACTACTTATGTACAGAAATTATATTTGTACTCCACGTATTTTTTAAAAGTTAAGAACAAATACACCAAGTCAATCTCAGAAAATCAGATATATGTCTGAAGCTATGAGTTGCTTTTCTAACGTTCTCTTCACATTGAAATTGATTAAAGAAGAATTTATCATTTGATTTTTGTATTCCTTAAAAAAATTTTCTAGTTGCCTCTGCTATATTTTAAGTGACATTTATTCAGTAATATTAAAGATTGAATGATAAAGAGGAAAGAGAAGTGAGAAAGGAAGGGCACAAATGGAAGCAGTTCATATGGATTTCCAAATATGATTCATCATCCTTGATTATACCTGTGTTACTTCATAATTTAAACAGATAAATAATTCTAGATAATGTTGGAATTTCTAATAATGCAAATTAGAAATATCATGTACTTTATTTAGTTCTACTCACCTAGTCAATGAGAAGAGGAAAAGTACATAATTAATATTAATAAATTAAAAGATTTCTTTTAATTAAATCTGAGAAAGAAAATAAATTTTAAATAGCTTTAAATATTCTAAATGACATATGGTAAAGCAAATATCAGTAAAAGAAACTCAAAAGCAACTTGTTGCTTTTGCTGTTTAAGTGTTTTCTTGTAGGAAATGTAGTGCCTTAACAACTTTGGGGGTTATTTTTTATGTTGTTTTAGAAAACTTAAAAAATTATTTGTAGACAAAAAGTAGCATCTATATATTTTGGTTGTATAAAGGTAAGGAGGACCTCATTGTAAATTGTTCATTTTCAGTTTATAACTCCCAACTTTAAAATAAGCTTTGTACTTAATATCTATAGGTTTATATTTTCTTGTTGTTATTTAGCATTTATTTTCTATCATTAGTAGAAACAACACTTGAGAGAGACGGGTAAAATCTTGAAAATATTTTAAGTAACCATCAACAAAATTGAAATTGCCTTCATTTTTACTTTTGATTAATTTCTTTTTTTTACTTTCCTAAGCAAAATTTTTGAAATATACAGGAAAGTTCACAAGTTATGTCATTTTTCACAAATAAAATTAACACAATCATGAAACCATTATTCATATAGAGGCAGTCCTAGAAAGTGCCTCATGCTCCTTCTAGACCTTAATTTCCTAACAAATGTAATCATTTTTTGGCATCCATTACCATGTATTAACTTTGTATGCTTTTGAAATTTATATAAATGAAATCAAACAGTAAGTTCACTATGCTATCTGGCTGTTTTTACACAATATTTTGTTTGTGAGGATTATCCATGTTGCTGACTATAATGGTAACTCATGTTTTTTGCTAGAGAGCAGCAGTCAGAAAAATTTTCCTATAACAAGTAAATAATGATAAATATTTATGTTTTGGGAACTTTATGGTCTCCATCACAACTCCCTAACACTGCCCTTGTAGCATGTTATAATATGAGAGCAACTGTAGATAATATGTAAGTTAATAAACAAGTCTGTTTTCTAATAAAACTTTATTTACAACAGCAGGTGGTGGGCCAGATCCAAACCATGCTGTGCAGTATTCTATTGTGAGAATAAATCACAGTTCATTTATCCAGTCTTCCATTGGCATTGTTTCCAGTTTGGCTAATAATGCTAAAAACTTTCTAGTTCCTATCTTTTGATGTACATATACATATGTGTTTGAATTATGTAATTGCTGGGACAGAGAGGGTTTAGATTCAGAATTGCTAGATACTATCAAACAGCTTTCTTAATTTACATCCACCAGCTATGTATAAGAGTTCTGTTTGCTCCACTTCTCCACCAACACTTGGTATTGTCAGTTTTTAATGTGGTATAGTGATGATTTACTTTTTAAACAGAGATGATACTAGTAGTTAAATATCTAAATCTACAGCAAGAAATATATCTTCATGGAAGACATTACTATATATATTTAAATTTATGTTTTAACATTAAATTTTAGTGAATCTGTGTCCCTCACACATCTCTAGTTTGGTATACAAACACACACACACACACACACACACACACACCCAACGCCCGCTTCCCTAAACCTGAAACAAAAACTGCGTTTGCTAGTCTTGAAAGAACACTGTGATTTTCTATTGTGCTTTAGGGAAAAAAATCATGTATTTGTATGCTTAGAGAAACAGAGAGAAAAAGTGTAGCATCCTATTATCTTTAAGAGGATAATTTCAAAGCCTCAGAAACTGTCTCTAGCCAGTGCTTTCAAAGTAAGCACAAAGTGCAGTGGGATGTGCAGAAAACAGTCATTAATCAGGCACACTGTGAGTTAAGTCTTCACTTCTAGGAATCTTTTCTAATCATTTGTAATTAGAAAAATGCTTCTGAAAATGTTTGCCTTGCTAACCATGAAGAGTTGAAACTCTCTCTTTTGGGAAAGTGAGCAGATGGTGTCACTTCATTTACTTTTTCCTGTGTTGCAGGGGGGACTAAGAGATTTAACTGTCCTTTCCACGTCTCCTGCCTAGGGTTTGGATACTTGTCTAGTATTTGGTCATAGCTTTTGGCTCAGCTATTTATTGTCCAGTTCCCTTTGTTTGATATTACTTTGATCCTCGCCCAATATCAGCAATGATTTGCTTGGATGACTCTCTCACTCTAGCCCTTACTCTTTTTCTTGGCAGAAGTATTCTTTTCTTTTGGTTGTAAGAATCTGGCCAGTAATGAGGTGGTAAGCTCCTGTCGAAGCAGCAGGAGTTGTCAGTGCTCCTTTCTTTCATTAACTTTCTTGGGCTGTAGCCACAGCAGCGAGACTTCAGGGACTGAGAATTTAACCTTCTCCAGCACCGATCATTTTTCCACATGGATTCACATGGCCCCAGAGCTCCTTGGCCCTTTTCACCAGCCCCCTTTCTTCACACTGCTTTTTATAGTTTATCCTGAACTTTCTGTCCAATACTCTCCAGGGCCACATGAAATAATATGCTTGAAGCCTTTTTTTTTTTTTTTTTAAGTTAACTACCTTGTATTCATTGTTGTTAAATGAAGAACACTTTCATACAGCTTTCACAAAAGTTTTGAAATTTCAGTTAACAGCTGTGGCAAATTATCTTTTTCCTTAAGGAAGTAATTGGTAACCATACTTCTGTAGCATAATATCATTTATTTTAATCCTAGTAGAATAAAATATGTATATTATTCTACCTAAAGTAATGACTATATGTGTGTACATAATATATAATTAGAAAATGTACATCTCTTGAAGCAGTAATTTTTCAGTTAAATATTTATATCATCATTTATCATTCATTCTGAAAGAAAAAATGTATTGATGAACTAACTGAGAACTTTGGCCTGTGAAGCTTAAAGTGATAATAATAGTAATCCAAAAATAATATTAATAATGATAATTAGTCTATCATGTTTTAGATACCTCCTAGATACAATGCCAGACATCATGTGTTGTATGTGGGTGTGTAAAATTTCTAATTGTCACATGAAACTTGTAAGATAATTATGATCATGACCATTTTACATACAAGGAAAACGAAGCATTGACAGCTTTCTCCCCCAAAGTTAGAATTACGCTGGATAGTTCCCTTTCTGCAATTCCTATACCTCTTATCCTTGGTCAACTTCCTGTTCTCTCAGATTTGACTGTCATATATATTATCAATATGTTTGTCATTCCTAGTATATTGAATGTTCATTTGTAGAAGCATGTACAATGTGCAGACGGGCATAACCTCTTCTTGAACCTATCATCATGAGCCATACAATGTTAAAGACTAGAATCACTTGTTATTTCAAGTTTATTTTGAAATGATTTCTACCTGTTAATGGAATATCCACCTTTACTGGTGCTTTTGGTTATAAACTATATATATATATATACACATATATATATATATTATATATATACATATTTAGACTGATTCATTTATTTATAATTAATTATGGATTATACTTTTGTGTTATGAGATTAGAGGATAAAGAGCTAAATGCAACTGTGCTATTGAGAAGTTTTAACACATGTTACACATATTATTTCCATTAATTTCCATTTTACCATTAGAGAATGAGATGGTTTTTCATTCCTTGGATCTGTATTGACACCAAATTAATATCAATTGCAGGAAAATGTCCACACTGGCTAATACTTTCTTA